TCTCTCCCTCTCTCGTTCCATCATATGTCAGGTTTTCACACAGTGCTGTGTTTCAAACCCCTCGGCCATTGTGGAAGAAACGTGGAACGGGAGGAAACAACACATTTTCATGACTCACAAACAATTCAGCCGAGTTTGAGCAAGTAAGTGCAAAAAACTCTTCACAGCCTGGCAAATGAATGAATGTCCTTCAACCCACAAGTCTCCCTGCGTCTTGTGTGTTTTTTTGTGACGCAAGCAGGAGGTACAGTTTCCTGGTTTTAGTCATGTCCCTTTCGTCAATTCTACAACTTTGAAGACAATCGGCAGCAGTCATCCCCAGAGTGTAAACATCCAGAAACGGTTTTTTTTTTGTTAAACAGTGCTAAACGAGTTTAAAAGAAGATCTTAACCAACAAAAGCCTTATGAAAAGCAAATAAAACCCCCAAATCCTCTTTGCCTCCCAGTGTCTCCTCTTTCCTCCTCCCTCTCTAACAGGATAAGTGGCCCATGCTAATCAGCTAAATGCACAGACCTGGCCGTCCTGATCAATGCTTCAATGGATCAATGAAGTAAAGCAGATGGCTGCAGGAAGAGGGGATCTAATCCACAACTCTACCTATCATGTCTCCTTGTCCCTCGGTGCACTCTAAGAGTCAAACCTGCACTGCTAAGGCACTTCTTTGCACAAAAAAGCTTTCCTCCCCATCTGGGTGGAAAGGAGTAAAATTGCAGAGCCGGCACAAGCGAAGGAAAGCTGTGCGGAATCAAGTAATGCTGTGGTAAGTTTCGGTTTGATTTGTTGGCCTCCCCCCATCTTACAGAGAGTTAGCTTTCAGGAAAACTGACTTCTTAAAAAAAGGGGAGAGAGGGACAGCAAAAGCTCAGTAAAGCAGTTTTTTTATTTTTTAATTCACACCTTTGACTGTTCTCTTTTAAAACCCTCTGTGTGTTCAAATCAGCTCAAAATCCATTCAAAAACACTTTGGCTCTTGACAAAGCTGACCCCCCGCCGCTTCTTTTCTAAGCCGGTCCCAGAGCTCCAGCTAAGACCCCCCAATGCGGCTAATGCGACAAACAGAAGGAGCGAGCTTTGTTTTATTTATTGGGGGTCTTGTTTTTAATTTCACCCCGAGCGTGGCAGCCCGTTTCCAGGAGCTTTGCGAGGAGCCCGTGACTCCCATACCTGACTGGTATTGAACCGAGCGCTCCGTTCGTCTTCGGCTATGAATGCTAATGGGTGACCTTGTTTTTGCAGCTGATGCCACCGAGGCCAGGCGGATCAAAATGCAAAGGCTTTGAGAGGCGCATGGAAAAGAGAGGAAGAGCATCAAACTATTTGAAATGACAAGAAATTAAGAAATTGGAGCGATTATCACATGTAAAATTATATGCGGTCTAAATTCGACAGGCGAGTATGTGCTATATTCAAAAGTTCAGCATCGGTATCCACTCTTTGTGAGGTGAAGAGTCAGTCAAACATTTAATGTCAGACAAAGACGGCTTGAATAAATGAAAAAAGCAGTTTTCAACAGTCTCAAAAGAACAACACCTTATGTTCTGATCTATCAGCAAATCAGACTGCAAATTGTTACAAAACCGTTTTAAAGCAATTAACCAGCTGAACACAATTTGGTAAAACAGTGGAAAATATTTCCAAGAGGTGCTGTGCCACAAAAATGGCTCAAAAGAAGAGCATCAACGCCTCCCTATGAGAGGCCTGAAAAAGGAACCCAGAACAGCATCTAAAGCCTTGTGGGCCTCACTTTCCTCACTTTGGCACAAAAAATGCTGGGTACAAAACCATCGCAAACTAAGACAGACACAAAAGCCTGTGTAGGATTTGCTAAAAAAATAAATAAGACAAGAAATAAAGGATAAGGTTTTTGGAAGGTTTGTTTCATGGCACAAAGGATCTAAAACTAACAGAGTATTTTAGACAAAGAGTGACATACTTGGAGTTGAACATAGTGGTGGGGGTATGATGATCTGGGCTTTGCTTTTATGCATTAGGACAACTTGTCATATTTGATGGATTCATTAGTTATGTGTTCCCTACCTGAACATATCAAAGTTTGTGGCCTTAAGGTCAAGTGAATTTGGACACGGATTCACAGAATTAAACAAAGTGAAGGTTTTGGTGCGGCCTAGTCAAAGTTTAGGCTTTAATCCAATTCATAAGCTGTGGCACATCCTGAAGTAGGCTGTTTATGCAGTTATTAATGCTTCTTGTACCAAAATATAAGCTGCATCACATATAAAACAGCATCTAAACTTGAATTAAAGAAACATATTTTAATTAGAATATGACATTTAGGTCTGTTGTACAATCATCCTCACAATAATGTAATGATGTTGACATTTAGACAGATTTTTGTAAAAAAAAAAAAAAGAAAAGAAAAAATTTACATTTCAAAGCATACCCACTATTTCCCACTATTATTTCTTGCATCGAGTGTTAAAAGCTTTAATAAACAAAACCCGCCTCAAGAAGACACTTATTCAAAGGATACACAGCCACCCACTTAATAAACATGCAAATAAGCTGGTTAATGGCTTGCATACTAATGTTTATAGCAGCAGTAATTAATGCACATATCATGGAGTCAAGTTATTGTGATTACAGCACAAACAGAGTGTAAGTTTCTCTGCTTTAGAAAGAGCGAGGCGAAGGAAAGTAATAACGGATCTCTAATATTTAGGTTTCTTCTGAGCGCTGAGGCAATCCAACGCGCCTCAGGCCAGAATCAGTTTGCTCCGAAACATTTCAAAAGAGCCCAGCGAAAACATATCAAGTTACTACAGTCTGCCATCAAAAGCCTGAACTTCTGATAGCTTGGTTTTGTAACAAGTCTGAGCCCAAAACAGACTTCCCCTCTGTTTTTTTTTTTTGTTTTTTTAATCTTCCTCTGATTTTCCCCCCACATTCACTGCATCACCCGGTGTCGCCTCGTAACCCTTCATGTGCTCTGTTCCCTCTGTCCAGTGCCATTTTGACTCCGTGACCCCCTGCATGCTTTGATGTCTCCTCTGTTTGAAGCACAATCCCCTCTCCCTCCCTCCCTACCCTGGATCTGCTCCCCAAGCCCTCCTACTGCTTGTTTCTAGTGTGGTTTAGTGGATGGCATGCTCTCCTCTCCTCTCCCATTCCCTCCCCTGTCTGCTCTGCTCTCTGTCAGTCTCTGGCTGTAATGTGGCTCTTGAGGCACGGACATGTGGCGCAGTGTCTTGGCAGGAGAGGGAGAGAGTAAGAGGAGCTTGGGGAGGTGGGGGGAAGACGGGGCAGAGATGCCCGATGACTGCCAGGAGAACCACATCTGTCTCTGATCTGTGAGTACATGTGCTGTAAAACACACACAGCCAGAACGGACGACTCCTGCTGTAAGTTAGGCGCTTTAAGAAGAGGAGGAGAAGCCCAAACAGAGCGACAGGAAAGAGTGTTTACTTCTGACTGTACAAGCAACCAGACTGCTATGGATGACTGTGCCTCATGTGTCATCCTACCGGCCGCATCACTTCTCAGCATGACGAACCCTCAGAAAACAATAGGACCACTAGATCCTGGGCTCAATGTTTTGCAGAGCAGTAGTTCCATTTTTAAACCCTAATTTGGTGCATTTTCAGTACTATGTGATCAAGTCACTAAAACGTTTTTGGATGGATAAATCATAACCAACCAAGGACAGGGACGCTGAATTAGTCTTTTACGCCCCTTTAAACATCTGTAAATCCAGTACAGACAATTGCTTGCTACTATGTGTGGCCAAAAACTGATGGTTCTAATCAACCTGGACTTGAAGTCGATGTATGCCGAGCTCCAAAACCGGCTAACCCAAGGACTCAAAACCTCCTAAATCCGGCGCTGACCACAATCTCCCGTTTTTATGATCTGATTACGGAGAGCGCGGTGGCTCGGCGAAAAGCCCCTTCCCCAACTCCTGTCTTCTTGCAGCACAGGAACTCTGGAGAAAACATGGAGCTCCAGAGGGATAGAGAATGATCAACTTTTACCCAAATACCTGCTGCCACATTTTAAAGACTTTGTGGAAGAAAAACCTACACATTTTGACACAAAACAATCTGAAAAGGTGTTTCTTTCCTCTATTGTGCTTTGAAAGAAAAATCCATCTCAACACCTAACTTTAAGCTGCGTGAGGAGAAGAACCACATTTAACACTCGGATTTCAACACAGAACATGGTAGTGGCAGTATTATGCAGTGGGGATGCCATTGTCTTATGAGGTATTTTAAGCGGGTCAGTGACGATTCGTTGTTTTAGGATATGGTGACACCAACAACATGATCACAACCTGCCGTTTTTATAGTCATCTGAGCACCGAGAGCGCTGTGAGCCCCCTGCCTCGAAAAAGCCCCTGGAGCTACTGGGAAAGGGAGAGTGGTGGTCGCTAATGAACGCCCTAACGCGTGAGTCAAATCCTGCAATGACAGAGTGGCTTTTACGCACGCTTTCTTGGCCACCAGCAAAAAGTGGTGAAAATTGCAGGTTGCGGAGAGGTCCAGCCCTCTCTGTAAAACATTAAGCCCTCCACCCTCCTCCTAATCGGAAGAGCTTTTTAATCAAGAGAATGGGTTTGTTCATTGTTGCTGATTATTAGAGTAAATCAAGGGGGGAAAAAACACAAGGAGCCAAACGGGAAGTGTCCGTTTTTCCAGTCAGCTGCTGATGGTTTCAGTCCGTCTGGGACATGATTGCTTCCGGGATTTTTTTTTTCTCCCTAATTTAGCAAATTGATCAGTTTGGAAATGTTTACTTAACTGCAAAAATCTAAAAATGTGTGTATATTTGTAGGATTGCGTAAAACAAACATCTTTTTCTGCCTTATATTCTCCGAACAGGGAGAAAGGAGAGGAAAACGGTTTGTGGATTACACCAAGTTATGTCAGATGTTTAGGTGGGCTGGAAAAAAAAATCAAAACGCATGACGCCCAAACTCTGGAAAAAAAAATAGTTTAAAGATGACGATCCGTACGCCAAAACCAAGAACTAACTCAAACTCACCGCTCTGTCCTCCGACTCCACATCCTAAGTGACACAGTGTTATTAAAAATCCAACCAGCGTGGTGGGAAAATCCATCTCGGATCAGGCAAAAAAACAAAAAATCAAAAAACAAAAACAAAAACAAAAAAATAATAACACAAAACAATTGAGTGTCTGCTGTTTCCACTTTGTTGGATTTAAACGCTGCAGTTGCTCAAAAACACAAAAATCCACATCCACTTCGGTCGAAGCCAAAATCTAGAAACCTTTTAAATAAAAGAACCCCCGATGTTACTACAGGACCATTCGCTGGGAAACAAGAACATCGGAGTGATACTCTAAAAACTCATCCGAGAAACACTGAGGGAGCAAAGTTCTTGTGGACAGTCTGGACAGCGGCTGCAGAGTCGCGTCAAGTTCCGAGACAGGCTCCCCAGTCTGTCCGAGTATCTCCTCCTCTGCCGCTCCTGCGTATTTTACGCACGCTGGGGTCGCTTCTCCTGCAGCGATCTGAAGCCCACCGCCGCGTTCCCAGCGTCGGGTGCAGCTTTCCCAAGAAATCAAACTGGAAACAGTCGGGCACGGAAATAAACGACCGGTCTTCTCCTGTCTGACGGACCGCTCATGCCGCGCCGCTCTCCGCTTCACAAGCCCTGCGCTCCGCTCCTGCTCCGCTCTGACACCAGCGTGCGTCCCGCGTCTGCCTGCGAGCTGTGTGTGCAGCGTGTGTGTGAGTGATCGCTCTTTTGAGCTGAGCAGCTATCGCGTTACAGTCACGGCGCCCGGGCTCCGCCTCCTCATACCCCTCCACCCCCCGCCCCCCAGCCCTCCTTCCCTCGCTCACTCCGTTTCCTCACCGTTTATTTGTAAGAGAGAGAGAGAGAGAGAGAGAGAAGGAGAGAGAGCATGCCTCCACCCACCCTCAACACACACAGCCCCTCTTCCCCCACAAGATGCCACAGATATGAACTCTTCCACAGATAAAGCCGAGATAAAACCACATTGTTATGGTAAAACAAGGGACCCCAACTTCTCCAGGGGACGTTTTTATCCCACAGGACCGGCACAAGAAATAAACGCAGCGGTTTGCAAGTGTGCCTTTTGTGTTCAGTCTCAACTTTTCACGGCAAAAGTTGCCCCAACCTTAACAGGAAAACTGTCCTGTTGGTCAGGTCAGAGAACGTCGTAGAACACCAGTTTTAGCACAGATTGGGGTTTGAACTTTGACTAGGACATTTTATCACATGAATTTTCTGTGATCAAATCAGTGTTTTTTTGTTGCTCTGGCTGTGAGTTTAGATCTATTCTTCTTCTGGAAGGTGTTCATCTTCTAAATGACTCGGAGGCGTTTCTCTGCCCATGCTGAAGAAAAGCCTCCCCACAGCATGATGCTGCCACCACCATGCTGCTCTTTGCTCAGACAAACAGTGATACAGTGATAGTCCAAGTAGAGAAGTGTTTTACAGTAACGTTCAGTTCAGGGATTGTTTTAAAAAGTGGTATGAGGTCACACTTGTATCTAACATTTTTATTCAACATTTCTAAAGGACAGTATTACATGCAAATATTAGCGGCTACCGCAGTAATCGCAATCAAATAAGCACAAAAACACACAAGTGCATTGTCCGACATGTTTCAAAAATGTCCTTCAGGTCTAGCGCAAAATCTTAAACACGCTCAACTTTGCAGTTGCACCCGGACTGAAATGCATCTGCGAACACACTTGCGAGGGCTCTGCATCCTCGAAAGAGTGAGAAAGGGAGGAGACATGGCGCACGGCCGCCTTTCACCACAAAAAACACATCAAACAACGGAGGCAATGTCAGGGCCCTTAACCCACCATAGAGAGCCCACCTCAGCCCAGCCCAATGTCAGCCCTGCAATCAGCCAGGCCTAAATACAGAGCGGGGAAGCCGTGTAATGACACAGTAGTGAAGCCCAAAATAATCTGCTGAGAAAGGCCTCCGCAGTGTCCAGCCCATGTGCCCTGCCTGTGGCTTGTATTACCTTGTAATGGAGTGGACTGGCAGTATAATGACTGCATGTAACCTTGCTGGAATCTTTATTTGGAACAGCTCAGTGCATTCCTACCGGTCAGGACTCATGGGAATCCTTCTGAGCCAACACAATTGTTTTTCGGGGGAACTTTTTTACCCCGGGCTCCCACAATGACAGGAATCAAACTTGGTGCTTGGAGAATTGGAAGAGACTCGGCTTTTTCCAACCGACTCGATTCTCGCTGGATCCAGGAAGTCCTGAGACGTGAACGCCGTGGACAGAGTGACCCCCAATGCCCTTGACAGAAGGTTGTGTGACGGGTCTGCGTGTCCCCCGTCTGCCACCTCGGTCAACTGTCATCCCCCCGGCTCCTTCTCGCCTCCCCACCCCTCCTCTCTCTTCTTGACTAGAAGACATCAACTTTCTGCTTTCTTGCGGCTTGTCAGTCATTTTTAAGCCCATCCACAGCCTAAGGATGGGGCGGCTGTCAGACATCAATGAGATTGGTTAATCTGAGCCTCTGGGTGGAGTGGAAGAGGGGGTGGGGGAGGGGTTTCATTTGGGGGGGAGGGGGGGTCTGCTGGCATAAACCAGTCTGCCATGTGCTCTATTCTGGATTTGCCCATGCTTGTGAGATTACACACCAGACATGAGTGTTAGGTGTCTAGAGAGCTCTGATTAAACGCTTTTTGATGAGGAAAAAGTGATCTTTGCTTAACCTCGCTTCGACCCTTTCACAGAGATAAGGAGAGGCGGTGAGAAGAAGCAGGCCATGTAAAACTGTGAAGCAACAGTGGGCTTACTTTCTGTTCTCCCCCTCCCTTTCTGTCCCTGAGGGTCATTTGATAGTCTCCTTTTCCATTTGTCAACATCTCTCTCCTTCCACCATCAGCTTTCAACCCCCAAAATATTGGGTCAACACTCGAGTAATGGAAACTGACCTGAGCGGGGGAAACAGCAAACACTGTGAGCAATATAAGTTGGTATATTATTGCTGCATTGTTAACTGAAAGCATGTATTGCTCTGTATTACTCATTCCACATTTTTCACTTTACAACCATAAATGTACTGCTTTAATCGCCGCTCTATGTCATAGGGCGACAGGAAGTTGTTTTGGTTTTGGATTGTTTTCTTTCCTTTTATGTTTCTGTTTAATGATATGTTTTGTGTTTGATTTATGAAGGGATAATTTTGTTTAATTTGACATGTAGGGCATGTGTAAATATAAGCCTTGTGCTTCTGTTTGAATCTTTTCAGCCAAGTTGTTTACAGTGTTTTAAAGTGTGCATAGCAGATTTGATGACTGACTGAATAAATTAAAAAAAATCAAATCAAATCAAAGTAGTGCCTAAAATTCAAGATTATTGTAGTATAAATGTATACGTCCTGTCAGTGAAGCATGGAGGTGGCAACATCATGCTGTGGGAATGTTCAAAAATTGTTTTATATGAAAATATTCTGATCGGAGGGAATCAGTTCATCTGCACAGTCGGTGCACTTTGAAATTCTGCAAATAGCTTCATGCTAAAACAGCAACACCACTGCAGGAAGATGCTATTTTGAGCATGCATGTCTCTGTGTCGGAGTCTGTTAAAGTGCTGCAGTTCTGAAGTCAAACCTGTAGTTTTAATGCATGATGCTCTTTTCCTGGTGTGTTTTTCCACAGCTCCCACCATCTGCTTTCTCTCTCATCTCTCTGCTGCACAGAACAGCCAACAAATGGCTGTCGCACAGTCCAAATCCTCACCTCAGCACACCTGCGCTGGGTTCACTCATGGGTGGTAGAGGAGAACACAACAGGGTCCCTTCCCCCCCCTTCCTCGGTTGTGCGTGTGTGTGTGTGTGTGTGTGTGTGTGTGTGTGTGAGAGAGAGAGAGAGAGTGTGTGACTGAAAGACAGAGAAGAGAGGGGAGAGAGATACCAGGCTGTATACCGCCTCGCTTATCACAACCTGCCCCACAGACTGACAGCATGACTGATAACTCTCCCTCTCTTTCTTCTCCTATCACACACTCCTCTACTCTTTCAACACCTCTCACCATCTTCTCACTGTCGCCTCCGCGGAGCTGGTCGCAGGTTCAATTCTGGTTGAGCGCCTCGACTTTGGGCTCTTTAAGCACAGAAACCTTGTTGCTTTAGTGATAATGAGTTAGCCTCCACTCTGGTAATGACATAAGACCGTGTGTTATGCATCTAAATAAATTAGAACATCATTCAGAGGTTGGTTTATTTTTTAGGAATTTAATTGAAAAGGGGAAGCTGGAAACGGGGATAAACATTAAACCTCTCAAAATTGGATTTAGACACAAAAATGTTACAATCATTTGGAAAATGTGGCTATTTGTTCATCAGTCAATAAGGGTGAGTACTAGGAAGTTAAGTGGGGGGGAAATGCAGTGAAAAAGCTAAACATACTGTACAGCACATGGACATACAGTTCAGAACGGCAACATTTCTGAATTAGTAATCCTCTTTTATACCTTGTTCAGCTGCTATCCTGAAAACACCTATTGATGCATATTCAACACATACCAAATATTGTATTGGAAGCACTTTTCATCATCTAGAGGTTGTGAGAATGAACAACATCTGTCCATTCTGAGTTAAAGTATAGGACTGTATTTAAGTGGACCAGATAATGGATCATACAGAAATGTGTGTTGTAATTCAGTTTTCAAAACCGGAAAACCTTATTATTATTATTATTATTATTATTATTATTATTATTATTATTATGCTGAACTAATTTGGGTCATCTATTGTGTCCAGAATTAATCAAATCCAAGTATAAGTGTAAATAAATGTAGGGGGTACTTACTGGCTTTATATTATATAATTTTATCAATTAAAATAACATTACAATTCACTTGAAACACATTATTAGCTAGATTATGATATTGAATCTGTATATTTTAGTCTTGTAGGTTTTAATTGGACCTCGGCAAAAGAAATCCCAGTTCTCCAGTCATGATTTAGCAATGGCAAAACCTGCTGCATGCTCAATGAATAAGAGATGTATAGGAAAAAAAATAGCATCATAACATAAATGTATCTTAAGGATATACCATACGGTTTTTGGCATTAAAACTCTCCCCGCTGTGTGTTTAATCCTTGAAATGTCATGTTTAATATATTTCTGTCATCATGCTGTTCTTAGATGTTGCAGTGACCCAATTTCCCCTTGAAATCCCTTAAAATCAACCGATCCTTATCTTTTAAGTACATTTGCATGCATTTACTCACGGATCGTAATCTAACTTGAGATACTTCCTTCTATCCACGCATTCCCCCAGTGAAGACGCTCAGTTTTATTCCCACAAAACCCTTGTATCTTCCGCAGTTTCTTGACTCACTCCCAACTGTCACATTCCTGATGGGCCACCCAAGTTATGGGCATGCCCTGACCAGGGCAATAATTACGCACAAACCCACACTTTAACCGTCTACTGTAATACTGCAAAACTTCCCTCTGCTGTTGCCGTCTCCTTGGACTATATGGGAACATCTGGTGTCTGTCTGCCGTCTTCCCACTCCTCCTCCCTCTATTTTTTATGATTTTTTTTTTTTTTCGTCACTGCTACCTTCAGTGGCAGTAACAGCTCAATCATCAAAACACTCTCAGCTGCAGTAAGAAACAACAGTCGTGCCAGACAGAGAGGAGGCGTCGAAGTAAAAGTTCTGCAGAGGTGTCTTTGCTTCGACAAAGCAGCCGCGGTGGGAGAAGGTTTTATTATCTTCATGATTCTGTTTGGAAGAAAACAGACATGGCATGAATGTAAATATTATTATTTCACCAGCTGATGCGTGCATGTTTCAGTAATGATTAAGATGCAATACACTGCTGAGCCTAAAGGGGGCAGGCGACAGCATGAAGCCGAAAGGGTGAGAGGTCCTGACTGCAGGCAGCCTTCAGAAACATTCTGAAAATTGTGACTGCGGTTCTTGCTGATGCAGACATTTTAATAGACAACAAACAAAGCTATTGTTAGAAATATTAGTAACTCCAAAAACAGACTGGTAAATAGATTTGCTGGCACAGATAAATGTGTGAGAAGTCCTAAATTAAGCACTTTTGTTATTGCTGAACTTTTAGATCAAAGCTTTTGTGAACTTCTAGCTAGTAATTAGTGACTTTCCCTTACCCTAGGATGTAAATAGCAACTAGGCTGGATGAGAAACCATGAGTGTCTTACCTTCTATCACAAACGTAATCCTGTCCAGTTGGTTAAATCCCAGAACAAAGAAGATGAATATGCAGGAAAGCACCTCACGCCTACTAGGAAGTGATAGTAGGGATCTATGATGCTGTGGGCCTGTTTAAAACCTTAATATGTTAAGGTTTTCTCCCTCATAAATAAAAACACAATCTAGAAACTGGTTTACATCTGATATTAAAATCTATTTGATTATTTGAAACATTTTAAGTGTAAAAAACAAACAAACAAACAAACAAAGCTGCAGAAATCCAAGTCCAAATAGTTAACTCTGTGTTAATGTTTTTCCAGTCTCCTATTTCAACCAGTTTCACCATTTCTTACATAACCAGTTAGCCATGACTGGTTTGTTCAGTGTATTTGGCGTGCATGGGAGTCAGTCACATGTAAACATATTAAACAGGTGATCTGTAAGGACGTCATTGTAAAACTATAAGACCTTATTTTGAAGAGCTGTTTATTGCAAGCCAGCTGCATCAGTGGCTGCTTTGTATTCGGATATGAGTTATGCACATACTGCACTGCTGTGGAGCCACAGCGGAGCTTCAAAAATATTGTTTGCTCACTTTAATTGCAAGATGTCCGCTCCTATTCCCTGGCTACCTCTTGTTTATGATACAGCATCATTATCCTCCATATGTTGCAGAGTAAAAAAAAAAAAAAAAAAAATTAGGAAATGTGTCTCTTCTTCCTTTGCTTTTCCACCAGGGCCTATTTTACTTCTGCTCTGTTTCTTTCATCTCTTTCCACTGCCCTGCTGTGTGCCTTTATAGTCACATCAAAGTGACCTTCGCCACCCTGCTCCCTCCAAAAATCCCCACCCCCACTTTTTTTTTTTTTTTTTTTAAGTCTGGAGACACACACAAATATATTTCCCAGGCAGTAATGCAATGACTCCGGTATTAGGCAAACAACTGGAATCTTTTTCCAGCACTTATCGATGCTTCTTGACATTGGAAAGGTTACTAATATCAGGAAAAATGGAGACAAATCTCCTTAGACTGTGCATGCAGTGTGACCTGCTTTACTGCCTTCATAAGTAGCAGGAATTATTGCTGCTGCATTATGAGGTTTTAATGATCACAATAATAATAATAATAAAACAGACAGCCTCTTTTCCGTGCCTTATTCACTATGCGCAGCCGTTATCGTCTGGTCTCTGAAGGGAAGATCTGCAGTAGACAAAGCAGAGAGGAGAAACACTGGGGAACAAGTGCATGCTAATGAGAAACACTTCTCTTTTTTTTTGGTTGCTGGGAGATAAAAGGTGTTGCACAGCTAGGAGCAACACTTTAATGTGTGACAGCAATGTAAGTCAGAATAAGAAGAATTATGTCTTTCTTGTATGAAGTCAGGCACTTAAACATTAAGCATGCAGGCTCTTACTGTCCATTTACATCATACACATAAGCAGTTTTACCCAGCATGGATTAAATGTTTGATATTTAGTACATACTTCATACACATCATGTTACAATGAGGACAAATGATACATTTATTTTTACAAAGAAAAACCTAAAATGTTGGGAGTTGGTATGTATCCAGCCCCATTCACTCTGAAGCCACTAAATAAAATCCAATTTAATATATTAAATATGGCTCCATATATATTAAATATGGCTCCGTAAGTCGAACCCTCTGTAGGTTCCTAGGCTGAATTTTCTTTTGAATAGTTTAGATATGCGCCATGTACATATCTGCAAATTGGTGAATCAGGAAAGCAGCAACAAGAACCACAGTGACTATAGAGGGGCTTTGTATATTTCTCTATCAAACAATACCCTTACAGAATACACTCAAATGCATGGTTGCTACATAACATATATAAAAATGATCATGAAGTATGAATACGGATTTAATTCAGAAACAAAACATAAGTCTGCAACAACACATTTCGCTTTAGTCGTGGTTGACAGGTTTAATCAGTGTGTCTAGATGATGCTGAAAAAAATTAAAAAGTGTAATAAAAGCTAGACGCAAGCATCGACTCGAGGATTTCCTGTAAAACTTTGAAAGGCTACTCAATGTGATATGTGCGCAGAAAAGAAAAAAAAAAGAGAGAGATCAAATTTGAATCTATAAACTGTTAGACTTGAGGCGTTTTCATTCTGAAGGAGAGAAAAACCACGCCAAGTAATTCAAATGAGGTGGAGGGAGATGGAAAAAAAAAAATCGAGGGGGGAAACAGATGGGAATAAGAAGCTAAGAGTTGTAAAGAGCCACGGAGAAGATTTGCTGTGCATCTGCTGTGGAAGAAACTGGAAGAAAAACAGGAAAAAGTCAGGGCGAAAACAAACGGAGAGGTTCCATGGGTGCAATTAGGATAGAGGGCAAAGGGAAGGAGTAGAGGAAGAGGGCTCGGAGGTTAAGGTGGCTGGCCATCCAGAAAAGCAGACGTTTTTGAGACAGGCGTCTTCCTTAATGGGGTTTAACCCTGATGCATTCACATTACCATCGTAATCTTATCAATATATTTTGTGTGCGCTAGTGCAGCTAACTGCTAAGCACTTGGCCCCATTAGTAAAACCTAATTGACTTACAGCCTTCTGACCACAAAGGTAACATCTGCGTTTGTCATGTAAGCGAACGCCCCATGTCGACACAAGCACGCTTTAAAATGACATCTGGTTAGAAGTGAATCCCCAAGCTGAAGACTGACCTTGATAAGTACCCGGGGACGCAATATGGACTTTTTTCCATTTCTCCTTGAATGGTCCAGGACGAGTAACGTCAAAGACAACATGGAATTTTTAGATAAATCTGCAAAAACTGCCTGTTTGACTTAATTTCCTATCCATCTATTTCCATTTGAGAACCATGGCTGCAGATCTAGAGCTAGAGGAGCTTCACATTTGACTGCATAGTGTAGGGTTAAGGTGAAAGCCTTTAGAGCCCAACAGAGCCACATCGTCTGATAAAAGGATCGGGAACAAGTTAGCAACCCTGGGTAGAAAACAACCTGAACAAGCTCGTCGTTGTGCCTAGAATGCGGAAAGAGCTCTTGCTTTAAGTATACAGGATCAGATAGAGATTAAAATGAACTTCAGTACTCTTCTGCTTCCTTCCACAAGTTAGCTCAAGGGATGCGATAATAAGCCCTCTACAGATCCGCCAAGCACGTATATAAATACCACACAACCAAACTCCCATGACCTCCAGCTCAACTATTCAACAAGCAGTTTCTCAACTATAATATTTTGAGTAATCTGCAATTTTCTTAGATGTATTTAACCAAATGATAGCGTAACTTCAGAAGGACATTTTGATAATCTTATTTGTCTCAATTAGTTCCTTTCTTTGGCTGGACAGTGGTTTCCTCTGACCACCCAAAAAGACTCCAGCCCTCAAGAGGAACTGCCCTACAACTGAGCCAAATGACTGAATTTACAATGGCATGAATTAGCCCCTACAAAGATAAGTGGGTATAGACAATGGATGGATGGTTTCTTTATTCACTTATACGTGGCATTTAAGACCTGGTAGTAACTTAAAAAAAATTAAAATGAAAAAGTGGAGCTAATGCAGTGGAGAGACGTTCATGGACAATAAAAACTGTACCATATCTATCCCTTCTTCATATCTATTGGATACTCAAGGATAAGCCTCAGCTTCAGCCTACTCCTTTAATTATTGGTTTATTAAGTAGTACTTTCTTTTCTGTAATGTTAATTTACCAAAATAAAGTGAATCTAAATAGATAATAGTATTTGGTACAGCTAGGGCTCTTGTATCGATATAAATTATAATCTACGTATGCGTGTTTGTGTCTGATTCACTGGGAATTTAGTTTCTCCAACACTCCTGAAAGCATCATTCACCTCATCCCTGCCCTAATTTGGAAAATTGCTCAGGTGCAGTTAATTAAGGTGAGAGGTACCGTAAGAGTGATTGCTAAGCAGCCCAACAACAAAATAGGGACTTTCAGAGATTAATTAACTTTTTATTTGCATTGGAAAGTATAACATTTTGACTCCGGAAAGAGATTGGGACGTTTTTTAAATTTTATTTTTTGCCGAGTCACCTGGAGGAGAAGGTCACAACTTGTACATGGCGGCACAAGGACTCATAGTGAGGACTACAAGGTTCAAGACTCCTGTAAGGAATTTTTATTTTTTTATTATTCAAACGACTCTGAAACATGTTAGAGCTGCTAAATACCAACGTTAGTGTTTTTTTTGTTTTTTCAATTAAGGAGAAGGAACTGTCTCCATTGCTGTCAACTAAACGTGAGTAATATGTTTATTCTGATATCTACGCTGCTTTTTATGCTATGTCCAACTTGATGTTTAACAGTCCTTATATAGTCGATATTAAATATTATTAAACTAATTATTCGGCCACATTGAGCTGTATAGTGAGCGCTATATCCGATCGAAGACGGCTTCTGCTCATCTTCCTAATGTTCTATTTTGCGCTGTTTTATTTTTTATTTATTGATTGAGTTTTGGTGTGTTTCAGTTGTTAATAACTTTGTGATTTGGACATTTATTGTTGGTCACACACTACATGCTCTGCGTTTTGATCAGAGTTATTTATCCCTTCCCCCCCAAAAAAAAATAAATAAATACACTAGTTTGTTTTGTAGCGAGTTGAACTAGTTAGAAGTCCCTTCTTATTGTTGAACAATGTGGTAGGTTTTTCTGAGCATATTTAATTGACTGTTTGGTAACATCATTTGATGAGGTAACTTTTATTCATATGACTGCTGCTTTTGCATTGAAATGGTTTAGAAGTGTATGTTTCTTTATGTTGATGTTCTGGTTTTGGGATCTGAACAAACAGCTGAAACTGCTAAATTGGCTTCCATTGACACCAGAACTCAGTTTCCTTAGAAATGACGATTTGTAAATTGAATGACTAAAAGAGTTTACTAATGGGACATCAAGATTCACAACAACATATACGTTTTGTTGACGTTTTGTGCAAGTAAGCATGCTGGAGTTGCTTATAAAGCGTGGAAAAATAATTCCTTTATCTTCGTATGAACTTAAAATGACCCTTTTGGTTGTAAACACTTCACCCCTATCCTTTGGAATGCTTGAGGTGTTGACCCAAACTTTGATAGCATTGTGTTTTCATGAATCTTGCTATTGCATGACACAAGAACCTGTTTTAATGGAGCACACCGGAGCTAAATCTGTGGAGTACCCTCTTGATTTTAGTGCAAACAGAATAAGAGTCCAATCAGGCACGAGACCGGAACCAATAAAGACAGACGGGTGGTAGAAATGAGTAACCAACACAGACCAAAAGGGGGAAAATGCTGACAGGTGAACAAGACAAACCCAAGGATCCATCACTATTTAGCCTTGGATATACAATATCAAATGGAGGACAGGAGACGCCTCCATATCAGCCTGTTATTATTGAAAATGACTAATATATTCTGAAGAGAGAAAAGTCAGAGTGAAAGAGAGATGGATGAGATATGGAATCGGATGGAGACTGACACTCAATCTTTCTGAATAGCAATCCAATAACATCTCCCGAGTTTCCTTATGGCTAATCAATCGTGCCGCAGCGCAGAAACAAATCACCATATCGCAGAGTCAATAACCGTCAGTCACGGAAATACCTCGCCTCAACCGTCAGTGTTTATCAAACTCGGTCCTGTCTCAGAGCAAGGATGGGGAGAAGAGTGACAATGCATGCTTGGTATGCACTGCTGCAGCTCCTTACAGTGGCCTGGGCTGCTTGTAATTTAGATAGCGATAAGGAGGCGATAGCATGGTGCTATCTACCATGCAGTGACCCCGGGTGAAACCAGGCTTAACCAACGTTAAGATGGATGAAGATCTGGGTTTGGAAAGCTAAACACAACACTTTATCAGGGAAGGAACGGGGGAGGCAGGTCAACTCACACCTTCATGACAAACAAGATACAGGCCTGCCATATTGGACATGTCTTAACGAAACTCTCTGGCATTGTTTACACAATCCCTGACTAGTCTCGAGGCAGAACAATCCATGGTAAAACAAACATTTAATCTTTATGTGCTCTGTTGGAGGATGTTTATATTTATTGTGAGAGTATTATTATGAATTCAGTGAAAAGAAACTTATTGGTTTGGAATATTTAGGTGACTTTCAATCCAAAAATAGTTTTGAAGTGATTTTTTTTTTTTTTACTAAAGAGCATAATTTAATCTCGTTTCAGCTTCCAATAAAATTTTATTTAGTTTTCACAAGTTGAAAAAAGTTCACATTTTTCGTTGGAGTTGTTTTATGGCTTTTCTCTCCCTCTGTACACGTTTCCTACTTAATCAAGCCACCCACGTTCGTTTCAGTGCCATTTTCCCAGCTCACTTTAATTTATAACTTTGAAAAGAAGAAAAATAATTTTATCTCTATAAAATGTGACCCAGCAACAGACCAGCTGGAAGAAGTAGCATTAGGAGAAGCCAGACCTGGCCTGATGCCTCACTGACCTCACTGTGGCCACAGCTCTGTGGTTTCATATTAATTACACAGGGAAAAATTGTCAAGTGTTTTATAGCAAGATGATGGAAAAACATTTTACTTGTTTTTTTTTCTCTATATTGAATGTATTCTGTTGCTCAAGGGGAAACTTGTAATTTAAAAGAAGGAAATTGCTACCTTTAGCGCCACTTAAAAGTAAATGTGGCAATTTATTAAAAAAATTGGCACATTCTTTGTCTCCAACAAGACTTGTGGCCAAAATTGAATTGTAAATGGATAGTTGTTCTGGTGTTTGAAATTGATAGTAGTTCTCGTGGATGACGATCAGTATATTTCAATTTAATTTTTGATTGATATCCTTGACCCTTGACTATTTGCATCTCAATATTTTCAGATTTCTTTTCATGTATTTTTCCTGTGAAATGAAATTTTAAATTATTCTTGGAAAATTTGAATATTTTTTCTTTTTTTTTTCGTAGAGCATATCTAAAATATTCCAAAGAAAATGCAGCAGGAAATGTTAAATGTCACTATGACCAGGTTTCAAAGACAGGTAAATCATCTGATTTACCTGTCATCTGAGTAACAGTGAAACTTATTATCAGTCCTCATGGCAGCACTATGATCAGCAGTGCAAATCTTCTAAATATGCACATTAAATCCAATGAGAGTAGTCTAATATCTGTCAATTTATGTCTTTGAGATGATTTCAATAGCCTCTCTGAGATCTGGACACCTCTCTGTTAGCTTGGCTGGGTGTAGCTGGTTTTGGTGTGTGTGCACACCATCTGTACGCCGCGGACAGTGTGTGGGTTTTATGGTGAGGAGCCCAGTCGAAAATCAGATGTGGTTCAGTGCCGGCTTAACCCAAAGGCCATCTTTGAGAAGAATAATGTCACACATGTGAAGAAAGTTCTTCTCAAAGTCAGTTTGATCTGGAAATGGAGAAAGTATCACCTAATTAGCTGAAAATTTCTACTGCTTAAAATACATGATTGGAGACGTCTTTCAAAAAGTACTGTACTTCTTTTCTTTTATCTCTTGCTTTGACTATAAAACAAAGAGATAAAAAAAAGACCCTCTTACTTTCTCTGGCTGCCATCTCTGTTTCCTTTGAAAACCAAACAGTGGTGTGTTTGACGTTAACAGACCGTAAATGCTGCTTTAAAATCCATTTACAGAGGAGGGGAATACTGAATATTAACTGCAGAAAGCATGGTCTCAAATTTCTCAGCTTCCTGTTTGCGAGTTTCCAATGGTAGCGGCAAAATAACTACAGAACAGTAAGTGTATTAGGAAGGTCTTTTGTGCAACACAAAAATTTCAAACAGAAAATGGCTTTTGTGAAAGAGAAAAATCTACTGATCAAATGATTTGACTACCCATCCCGAGCCCTTTTCTGTCAATTAAGAGTAATTTTCCTCTGCAGATCCACCTCCTGGACTTTGTCAAGCTGTGTCTAAATAGCCCAAAGCCACCAGCCAACACAAGGAGCTGTCAGTAATAACAGGACCAGCTGCCAGTCAACTGGAAGCAGCCTTTCAAACACAGTGAGCAGAGAGCAGGATACTGCAAAAACTATAGAGCTCTATATTTAGGAATAAAGTCAGTGGGATCCAATGACCCGTAAGAAGTTGGGGCATCCAGCAACAAGCTTCTTTATCCCAAGGGGGAACACTGTTTTAGAAGAGTAAATCAAAGCAATATGGAGTAGGCGGAACATTTGTTAGACTATCCTTTTGTCTTGTGGCTTTAGTACATAAACTTTAAGTAATAATGAAAAAATAAGTTGTATCTTTTCCATAAAATAAACATCCCATCCAAAAAGAACCCATATAAACCACACAATTGTGTTACAGTTAAAATATCTCCCAAATTTGACAAAGAAAACAAAACAAAAAAACATTCCAATGATATTTCTTAATTTCAGTACACCATGCAAATGCTCTGTCTACACTGATGAAGATTAACCCACCTCTGAGTTGGATGTGAGACATCACCCCTAGTGGCTCCCTATTTTTTTAAACTACGATTAGGTCTGGTTGACATATTCCAACATAGCTCCAAAGCCAATGTGAGCGGGCTTATTGACAATATAAACCAGCTTCAACAACCTCTCCACGGCAGGCACAATTACTATGACATGTTGTTGGTGACCTTTTAATAAATTTAATTTCACTGGATTTCGACCCTAGAAGAATAGTCCTCTAAAACACAGGCCAGCAGGGACCTCAGTCACGGGTTCTTGTTAGTCAAACGAAATATTGGTCTCACATGAGAGTTGAATTTCAAGTCTTGTGATTAATTCGACCACTGCTCCGCTTTCTGCCCCCTACTGTGAACTTTTATCAGTCAATTACACGCCTTTGTTTTTTTTATGGTTTTCTAGTGCGTCACATTAAAGAACACCTTGGGCCTCCAGCTGTGAGCTTGGAGCTATAAACCTTGATCACCTTTCAGACTCTGTAGTAACCGGGTTGTTTATGACCCTAAAACGTCATTAAATTTCTACAATGAGCGTTTCTCTTTGTAGTGAATTTCAAAGGATATAATTGTTGAACTAGTCTCATTGATTTAGAAAAAAACTGTCACAACTTGGCAATAACGCATAATAAAAAGGTAAGATTAAAATAAATAAATAAAAACAGGATGGAAAATTAATTGCTTAGTAAACCTTGTTGAGGAAAAATATCACCCAATACAAATCCATGTTTAATAGTGACTGATGAACTAAAACAAATAAAATAGGACAGACATAAACTACTAATTCACAAGACTATTCATCTAGCATCCTATTTATCGAGGA